CCCATCACATGTGAGGGTGCTGAGGCCCTGGCCAGGGCAGCGAATGGCTCCAGGAGGAACCAGAACCAGCTGATCACCAGATACCTCCAAGGAGCCCAAATGATAAAACCAATTCCACCACCACTGAGTTAACTGTAACTCACAGTGACCCTGTAGGTCAGAGAACAATTAGTCCAAAGGATTTCTGAGGCTGTAACTAAACCTTTACAGAATCCAACTTCTCCTAAAGAGTAGCTGGAGATTTGAACCACCAACCTTTCAGTCAGCAGTCTAACACAACCTACCACAACAATAGGGCTCCTTCTAAGGAGTCCATCTTTGGTAAATTCTTAGCTACCATTTGCTGAGCACATCCCTGATTTAGATGTTGTTGTTGTTGTTGGATGCTGTTAAGTCAAGGATGACTCACAGACCCATGAACAGCAGATCTGAACCCTGTCCTCTCCTGTGCCATCTTCATCATCTCTGTCACGCTGACACCCATTCTTGCTGTCACCATGTCAATCCACCTCACCAAAGGTCTTCCTCTAAGCTGACCTTCTAGCGGGTTTTCAGAGGAAGTAAATCTCACAGGGGAGATTACCCATCCTTCTCCCATGGAGCAGTGGGTGGATTTGAGCCATGTGCCTTTGGGAGTGCAGCACAGTGTCTTACCACTAGGGTACCAGAGCTTCCTAGTTTTCCTTTCTTTTGTTCTGTGGTGCTTTTCACATGTAATCAATACCATTTCTAACTCTGTTGTTAAAACTTATCACACCCTCAAAGGTAAGACCGAGTCATGGTTGGAAGTTTAGGAGACAGGTTCTAAACACATATTAAGAGTGAGGAAAATGGAATCCAACAGAGTGTGGAGATTATCAAATAATATTATTATCCTCTCTCTAGGACCTGGCATTTAATCCTCAGAGGTGCCCTGCAGGGATTAAGTTTGGATCCCAAATGAATGTTTTGAAAACCCAAGCTCAGAGGTGCAGTCACTCGCCCACGTGCACAGCCAGAAGGCCTGGGCATTGGAGTTGAGTTTGCGCTGAGAGCACCTGCCACCAGTCTCCCTTCCTCGTTCCCAGTTCTGCTTGAGGTTATCAAGGCGGTGCATGCTCCCAGTAGATGCTGTAAACACTTAGAAAAGTGCAAAAGAGAAATGGACCCATTAATCTAGAACAGTACCATAGAGAGTGAGTTTTGGCAATCTGGAAAATGTCCTAAAGGGGGTTCAAGGTTGTGGTTTATGGATAACAGATCCCCAGACCTGTCTTCTGAGGTGCCTCTGGGTGAATTTGAACCACTAACCTTTCAATTAGTAGTTGAGCTCTTAACTGCATGTACCACAGTGGAACTCCATGTACCCGTATGGACTTCTCTGTATGATTGCCAAGGCTGTGCTTGTTACAGAAGCAGACCGCCACCTTTCTCCCACGGAGCAGGTGGTGGGTTCAACCCACCAATCTCTCCATTAGCAATCAAGTGGTTAACTACTGAGCCACCAGGAGTCCTTATGTGCACTGGTAAAAAACTCTGCCATTGACACCGTGTCGATTCTAAGTCATAGAAAATCTGTAAGATAAGCAGAACTTCCCCACAGGGACTCAAAGCTGTGATCTTGAGAACTTAACTCCTACATGGTCCCGGGGGTCCAGTCACCAGCCTTGCAGTGGGCAGGCAGAAGCTTAACCACTGAGCCACCAGGAGCGCTCACACAGACGCAGGAAAACAAGTTATTCTCCTGTGGAGCAGCTGGTGTATTTGAACTGCTGACCTTTCAGCTCCCAGCCCAACTTGTAACATGACACCACCAAGACTCCTTTTTAGTAAAGGCTTTCCTGCCCCAAACCTATAGTTCCTGAGGTTTTCTGGGATAGCTGCTAAAAACCCCTTTTCTATCACATTCTTGGACTGGACTGGAGGACAGGAAAGCCAGACAGCATCTTACGGTGTTAAAGGCACAAGTTTTTGAGTCTGTGCGACGTGGATTTAAATCCCTGCTTTACCTCTTATTAATCTTATTAAACTGTGGGCCTGCTGTCTGGTGGTGGAGATTCTGTTATTAACAGTGTGAGGCTGTTGCGAGCAGTCAGGGAAGGAGGAGGTGTAAAGTACTTAGCCACACACTCGAAGCAAACTGTTTATGAACTCGGCTCTTATCCGAAAGGTAGAAGGTTCAAATCCCCCAGAGGTGTCTCTGAACAAAGCCCTGGCTGTTTAGTTCTGAAATCATCACTGAAAACCCAGCAGTGTACAGATCCACTCGGGCACATACTGGTCCCCAGGAGTTGGCTTCAACTGGACGGCAGTTGGTTGCTGGTCGACCCCACACTCAGTGTGGTTGAAGGTGGTGGTGGTGGAGATGACAGCGTGGCTGTCATTGTTGCACTGCTGTGTGATGTCCCCACTCACCATCGCGGGCCTGTGCCCTGAAAGGCCTAGGAACTGAAACGGGTGGTAAGGAACGCATCTCTGCTCTTTTCTTACTTTTCTGACCTGCAAGCCTACCTCTTGCCTTCTCTCTCACCTCCAGTCACTGCAGGAAAGGGTGAGCGAGGAGATCAGATTGTCCGGTCACCTCACCGGGGAGGCGTCAGCCTTCACGTCCAGACCATCTTTGTCTCAAACCAAAGCCTCTTTCACAGTAGCTGGCACCTTCTTGGGCACCTCAGTAAGGCAGTGAGCAGGCCCAGAGGCGCTGCCCTATCCTGATGGCCACTCTGAATGGGGTGGGATTCAGAGGGCTTACAGCTCCGCCCCCTCCCTGCAGGGCCATGGTTGGGGGGCTCCTGGGTAGAGACTGAAGAGTGCAAGGAACACACGGGGAGAGTGTGAGAGCACACCTTACGGCTACCCGTGTCAGCTCGAGGCCCTGGGGGCACGCCTTCCCTAGGACAGGCCTCCGTTTTCCCATCTGAGACGTGAACCCGTCAGGAACTGTTAGGACAGTGCAGGACAGGACAGGGCTCAGGTCTGTTCACAGAATCTCTATGGGTCAGACTCGACAGCACCTACCACCACCACCAATAACACTCTGGTTCTGGATTCTGCAAATCCTCCAAAATCAGTACTAGGTCAATGGCTTTCTTCCAGAACTCTGGAACTTGGACGACTTGGTCGTTAGGGTGACAGAAGATGGCAAAGACCTTCCTCGACCTCTGGAAGTCCTTGCTCTGAGACCACAGATCTTTTCTGAACTGAACAAGGAGAACTTGGGGAAAGGGCTGGAGGCCAGGCGGCAGCTGGACTGGCTTTCTTCCGGAACTTGGACAACTTGGTCGTTAGGAGAAAGACAAAGGGTGGGGGAGAGCAAGCTTCCAGTGTCTCTGGACATTTCCTCTGTCCCCACAGAATAGGACCACTCTCTCTGTGGCGAGCTCCGCTTCTCCTCGTTCCCAACAAGCCGGGAAACTGCAGCTTCCTCAAGACACTTGCTTTTACCACCATCATTTTTCTAAAATGGGAGCTCAAGGCCACAGAACTTGAGCATTTGTCATTATGGACTGACTGGGAAATTCACTGCCAATAATAACTAACATCTATTTGATGCCGGGCCATGTCCTAAGTGCTTTACATACCTTTTCTAGGTTAATGCTTGCAGACATGACACCCATTGCCCTAGTATTTCCTGGAAAAGGTCAACAACAGTTTGCTCAAGGTCATTGGCTTCTAAGTCCAAACCAGTCTTCATGTCCGGGAGGCCCGGTTTCCGAGCTTAGCCTCCCAAAAGTTATTGCGTGGGTCTGCCAGGTGTCACAGCATCAGGACTTCAAACTCCTGCTCAAGCATAATTTGTCATGTGACCTTGGACAAGTTACCTACCTTCCCTGCGACTCAGTTTCCTTAACTGTAAAGTGAGCCTCGTGATGTGACAACTTTATAATAATGATCAAAAGTAACGGGATTTAAGAGCGTGTCAAGCAGTAACCAGTTACCACTGAGTCAACTCCGTCTCATGGTGGCCCTGTGTGTCACAGAAGAATGTGTTCCGTGCAATTCTCAGTGGCTGTGCCTTTTTCCAGGGAGCTCTGGTGACCTGGAGGGCAAGTCGTTGCTCTGCCAATCCAAAGGCAGGCGGTTCGAATCCACCAGTTGCTCTGCAAGAAATAGAAAAATCTCCTCCTTGTGTGATTTGCTGCCTCTGAAAACCGGCTGGGTGGTCAGCTACGAGTCTGTTCCAGCTCAACAGAATTGAGTGTTTGATGCCTTTTCTTAAACAGCCAGACAGACCCTTCTTCAGAAGCATCTCTGGGAGGATTCAAACTGCCAACCTTAGGGTTAGTAGCCAAGCACTTAACACTGTATCACCCTGGGACATTAGTAGACTATAAAGTGTTTATTTGCCCAGGGATGAGGCTCAGAGTCCAAGAAGAAGCAGGAAGGAGGGATGGATGGAAATGGGGAACACAAGGAGGAAGTGAGAAGTCTTGTGCTGCCCCACTGTGTGGATTTCAGCCAACACCAGAAAGCAAAACGGGTACACACTGTAGGACAGAAAATCAACTTGCTCTGCAATCACTTAGCCAAATCATAATTTAAGAAAAAAATTCTTTAAAATGGAAATAAAGTGCACTGCAAATTGGTGTCAGTGCCATGAAAATTTTCTTTTAAACTGTTAGTTAAACGTGTAGTAAAAAACTGAAAGAGAAGGCTTCTCCCAGAAAGGGCCTGTTCTCACTCTCTCAGGTGGCAGGGCCACACAGGCTGAGGGTCTGCTAGCCTGAGCTCCTTGTGCACAGAGCTAGTGGCTAGTAGAGAGAATGTTCTGGGCACCTGGAGCCTGGCTGACTTTTTACATCACACCCACCCCTGCCACTCTGTGCTCAGCGAGGACACAGAGGAATGGAAACTTTTGCCACCAACAGCATTTGTTAGTAACTTCCTCGTGTGTGGTTTTCTCTGTCATTCCCCTGATAAAAGCGCTCGAGCTGTGCAAATGTAACCAACACGCTCGAATCTCATCTCCACATACCAGCAGCCGCCTTTCAAGACGCAAACTGCCTGAAAAATGGTGCATGATGCACTCTAAACTGGGTCATTCTGCACGCAGAGGGCTGGGGGCTTGGCTGACTGTCCCTGTGTGTCTCCTGTGCCCCAGGCTCTCGGCAGCTCCGACTATCTGGCCAGGAGAGAGAGAAATGGGTAACAGCATGAAGTCCACGCCTGCCCCGCCTGAGAGACCGCTGCCCTGCTTAGCAGATGGTAAGTCCCACTCGTTTGTCCAAGAAACACTGACCACAGCATAGACTGAGTGAACGTGGGTGGATGCTGGCATTGGCTGAAGCTAGGTAAGGGATACTAAGGGATCAAAGGACTCAGCTCTCTAATTTTGTCTGTGTTTAAAATTATTCATTATTACAGCTTCAAGGGAACTGGGGATTCTTGTTGTTATTGTTCCTACGTGTTGTAAAGTTGATTCCAGAGTCCTGTGCACAACAGAACTCTGCTGGGTCCTGCACCATCCTCACTCCTATGACCGTGTCTGAGCCCAGAGATGCAGCTGTTGTGTCAGTGTATCTCGCGGAGGGTCTTCCTTTTCTCTGCCCACTCTCTGCTTTGCCAAGAATGATGCATTTCTCCAGGAATGTGTCCCCTCTGGTACCATGTTCGAAGTAGGTGACATAAAGTCTCCCTCCCCATCATACTTCTAAGGAACACACTTGGGCGCTGCTTCTTCCAAAACAGACTTGTGTGCTCTTTTGCAGCCCACGGTCTGCGCAGTATGCTTTGCCAGCATCACGATTTAAAGGCACCGATTTGTCTTTAGTCTTTCTTATTCAATGTCCCATCATCACATGCTTATCAGACAACTCCTGAAAAATACCGTGGCTTGGGTCGGGTCACCTTGATGGCATTTTGTTTTTAACATTGCAGAGAAGCCTCTGATAGATTTCCCCGAGGCAGCACACCTTTTGATTTCTTGACAGTTGTTTCTGCAGATGGTTTGACGTTCTAAGGAGAATGAAATCTTTGACAGCATCAATATTTTTCTCTGTTTAGTATGAAGTTACTTGCTGTATACAGTTGTAAAGATTTTTGTTTTCTTTATGCTGAAATCAATGCTTCTGAAAGATGTAAAATCTTTGGCATTTTGAGATAGATCTTAGAGATTAATGGCTTCATCACTTCACTTTACAGTAGGGGGACGGAGGCCCACAGAAGAAATAGAATTATTTTGGTGGTGGTGGTGTGGTAGTGGTGCTGGTGGTGGTGGTGGTAGTGGTGATGGTGGTGGTGGTAGCTTTCTGTAGATTCAGAAGTCAGGCCAGGACTGTTGGATTTGGAAATCTGTCCTTGTGGTACCACACCCTCCCTGCCTCCCATCTAAAGGGCATGAGATAGAACACTATTTTGGACACAATCAAGTCAAAAGAACCTTTTCTACGTACTTTCCTAAGTAAGACCTGATTGCTCTGCTGTCATACTGAACACAATAGGTCCTCAAGAGGCACCTCCTTCTGTAAGGATTTATAGCCCCAGGAACAGGAGGCAGGGGTGGAGGGGGGGCATGGGTCAGGATCAATTGAGGGCAGTGCGTCTGATTTGGGGTCATGTTCATTGATCAGGCCACCAGGAGCCAAGTGCTTGAGAGAAGGGTCCACTACAGGTTAGTCAGTGATAAGAAGTCTGCCCTCTGGAGAAATGACAGGTGGAGACAGATGTCTAGGATGATCAAGTCCTTCTGCTGGTGGCCAGAGATCTGGGAGGGGACATCAGTAGGCAGAGTCCAAAGTCAAGCTTGGCTCACCCTGTCCTACCTCCTATCTGTGCCAGATTTCTCCTGCTTCCTATTTAGGTGGTGGTGAGTGGGGCTCACAGCCGTGTGGGTCCTCTGGGAGACGGGGCAGTGGTGGTCAGTGAGGTCCACAGAGTGAGTCACAGGAGCACCTTAGGACACTCTGCCTGTGGGCGGGGCCCCTTGCCCTCCTATCTGCCTAGTACGTACTGACCTGACAGTGGTGGATGATATCGCTTTGACTTTATCACTGCGACCCTTATGAAAAGAGGCTTCTGTGTCTTCCGCCCCAAGACAACCAGCTTTCAGTGCCCCAATGAGCGCGTGGGCCTTCCTCTCCTCAAATCCCCCCTCCAGATGCAAACACTGGAGCTTTCCCTTGTCTGTCCCAGCAGCTGCCTTCCAGGAACCAAAGGAGAGAAAGCAAAGAGGGTGTCCCCCCAGAGCCCAGGACCCCCAAACACGACGTGATGAGGTGAAGGGGTATGATGGGCGTCCCTGGCTGATAGAGGGCCTCTCCTTGCTGGACAGAGCTCAGGGCACCGGGTCCAGTCTGCCCCTCCTTGGGGACAGATTTGGCCCTTCCCAGCCTGACTAGTCACAGCTGTCCACCCCGTCACACCAAGAGCTGCAGAGCCCTCCTGATCCTTGGGTCCCACGTATGTCAGACCACACTCATTTAGAGAAATTACTAGCTGATTTTTTAAATTTTTTTTTTTAAAGTAGATTTCCAGGCTGTTCTTCTGGAAATCAGCAGCCTCTGAGCTCCCAGCCCAGCACCTTTACTGTTTACCTCAGCCAAGGAAAACTGACACTGCCTCGCGTAGGGCCTGGTCCTCCCTGGAGGCACCTCTCACCTAAGCCATTTGGCAATGTCACCTCTCAGACAGGGTCAGAGGGGGTAGCACGCTTGAGCAAACCCCATGAAAACATGGGCCTCCAAGGACCTGCTCATTTGCCTTTGTTTTTTCAATGCAAATCTTCATGACATAAATCTCTCTTTTTCCACTGTGTGGGTGAGGGGGTCACCTTGAAGAGGAAGGCCAAGGGGTCTCCCCAGCCCTCCACGCCCCAGGGTCAGAGAATTCCCCAGCCTGAGCCCAGTGTGATCCAGGCAACCACATCAAGTGCGGAGGGCTGCCTGGCTCGCCCACCCCGGGAGGTTCTCAGCCATCTGCCCTGACTTTATTTCCTCTTTTCTGCAACACTCACTTGAGTAAAGAGGAAGGAGGAGGGGCAGGGGGCGGGCCAGTCGGTGCCGATCTGCATCCTGCAAAGGGCCCGTTTTCAAGGAATGAGGTGTCACTGCTCCCCAGCTCCATAGGTGAGCATGCGGCGTGCTTCAGGAAGCGCGTGCTCAGCGTGCCGCCAGCCTGCTGTCCCGCACGCCAGATCCCAAGCTACACATCTGTGACGCAAGGGAGCTCTCCCACACTGACCTGGTTTTCATATGTGTCGTGTCAAGAGCTGGTAAACCAGTCAGCCTGTTAACTTGGGTGCATCCCGATTGGCACAAAAGGTTAATACATTGAGATACTAGCTGAAAGGTCAGTGGTTCAAATACACCAGCAGGTGAGTTAGAATAAACACTTGACTATTTACTACTGAAAGATCCAAGTTCATTTCTGTGCGGTCAGTTCTGACTCCTAGTGACCCTGCAAGACAGAGCAGAGCGGACTCAGGGCTGTGGGGATGGACACCACAGAGCTTTGAGATCCTGCATTCTTCCCCAGTTGTTATTGTTGTTGGGTGCCATCGAGTCGTAGACAACTCATAGCAACCCTGTGAAGGAAAGACCTGAACACTTGGAATATAGCTTTGACCCTGTTTTCTTTTCCAGAACAGTCCCCACGGGTCTAGTTCCCAGGGATATAGTTAAGGCATCTGGCTGTCAGCTGATAGGTTAGTGGTTCTTATCCACCCAGCGGTGCCTCAGAACAAAGGCCTGGAGATCCGTTCCCAAGAAGTCAGCCATTGAAAACCCAACCTCACAAGGGAAAAGACTGGGGAACAGAGACAGAGCCCCCTCTCCCTTCCAGCAACAAGGCCACACAAAGCTCATTGATGTGTGTGTGTGTGTGTGTGTTAAAGGCATTTCAAAGAAAACAAACCTCCACTTGGGGTCATCTCACTGCAATGGGCTGTGCGTGAACTACCGCAGGCCCTTCCTAAAAGCTGTAAGGCACCGACGTGGGGACCCCACAGTGCACAGAAATGCCATTCTTCTGCGCTGGGTAGGACTGGACACTCTCACGCAGGGAAATCCCGGAGCTGAAGGAGAAGGGGGATCTTGCCATGTGTCCGGAAAGGAACGCACGAAGGAAGAAGCGAATGCAAACGTGGCTCACGCCCTTTCTTGTAAAGTGGAAAAAACTAGCGCAGGCATTTACATAGCTGCCCGAGCTGCTGCCTCAGTGGAAAGAAGGGGTGAGGCCAGAGGAAGCCAGGCAGGGGAGGCAAGGCCCCGCGCCTCTTCTCAGCGCGCAATCGCAGTCCTCAGGCCACCTGCGTGGGAGAAAAAATCAGACTGGCCTCCATAGAGTCACTTCCGGCCAACGCATGGGGGGACCTGGTACCGATCAGAGCCCAGTCCACCGGGTGTTCAGTGGGCGTGGTCTTTCTGAAGGAGCATGGTGGTGTGGAGGTTAAATTCATGGCTGCTAACCAGAAGGTTGGCAGTTCAAAGCCACCATCTGCTCTACTACTTCTGTGAAGATTTCCAGCCTTGGAAACCCCACGGGTTAATTCTTCTGTCGGCTCGTGGGCTGCCATGGGTCAGAAGTGACCCAACAGCCATGAGTTTGGGATCTTTCAGGAGTAAACCACCAGGCCTTTCTTTCGAGGTACCTTTGGATGAATCTCAGTTATTAGCTGGATGTGTTAATGTTAGTGCCCCTGAAGGTCGTCCTCAAAATGCAGGCTTGCTAACTAAGCAGGCCTGCTAATCAGACCCAGATTCAGGAGAATCTTACACAATGCAAAACCAACCAGTAGCCATGGAGTTAACTCTGCAGCGTGGTGGGCCGGTGTTTCAGAGCAGAACTGTGCTTACTGGGGTTTATTGGCTGGTTATTGGAAGTAGATTGTGGTCTCCAGGTGCATCTTACATTCCCTAAGGCCTGTAGACCACCTTCAGCTTTGAGCTCTGGCCCTGACACCCACAAGCCATCAGAGAGAAGATGCCATGCACATTCGACAGCTCTGTGCACACAGTACACTACTCCTGGCCAGGAGGTGGCAGGGACTTGGAGGAGACAGCCCGGGAACTCAGGCTGCCCTCTTCCTTCTCCCAAAAGCAGAGTAGGGCTCAAACTTGTTAGAAAAATGACCAACTGTCTTATGAATGAGTATGGAGAGCTCACTGGGGAGAGCAGGACAGAATTGTAAATGAAGACAGGTGGGGAATCGACAGTATGTCTCTTCTGTAACAGAAAACTGGGTCCCTGGACACTAGGTGATGGGAGGT